TGTATCTTTGGCTATGTGTATTTTCACCAAAAAAAAAAAGGTTGAGAAGTTAGAGGGTTGATATGTTGTGGGGTTGTTAACCAATGTCATAAAACAACGTGTACTTCTGTTTCATGAGAAACTATTTGTTCTGTAAGCCTTCACCTGAAGTACAATTAAAAAAAAAAAAACAAAAAAAACCCACAAAGCTCAGTGTCACTGAATTGTAATGTGAAGTATGTTGAAATCACAAATGTTTCGTGACACATATATTTACCACACACATGCACAAATCAAAGTTCAAGTAAGAATTCCTCACCTAAAATGAACTGTGTTGATGTCTTTTGTAAATTCTGGATCTACAACAGGCCCAAAAGGCAAAACTCACAGTGACAGAGAGTATAACAAGACTGCACACAAAATGGAATGATTATGACCTCCAAACTTGTAAGAAAGGATAACCGATTAAAAGCTGACAATGAATGGATTTTAAAAAGGAAGTGGCCAGCTGCAATCTACAACCTTCTGTAAACGAGGGTCACTCCACATACTGCAATAAGTTGGTCACAGCCTGGACGGGTTGAAGAGCAAAGATGTGGTAGAACAGGAGTGGTGTTGATTTGTGTAACAGAAACAATGAGTCAGAAGGTAGGGATGGGATAGTGGGGTGTCCTTCACAAACAAGGCCATCCAGTCCACTGTCCTAGCTCCTGGCAGGGCCGAATCAAGTCATTTTAAGTTGTCAAGATCGAGGAAACTCTCAGTAGCTTATCTTGACTTCTAGAGATTCTTCAAAATGAATTCTGTGTGTGCAAATGCTTTTATAAAAACATAGATATTTAAATCCATTTGCACTTGTTCTGTCTGTACTGAACAAATTAAAGAGCAGATCATCACCCTTATGATTCTACAAAGATTTCAGAACCGTCAATAATCCTTCCTCTGGATTACAGTCTTTGCTCACTCGGCCTTCTCTTTGTTAGATGCCTCATCCTAAGAAGGCACATTCTGCGCTGTCTCCTGATTCTGCCATTGTTTTAAAAAGTTCTCCATAGCCCAACTAACCACAGCTCTTTTCACCCCAGCTGTCCCAAAAAGAAGAGCGTAGGCAACACCTGTCTGTTACACCGCTAAGAGCACTTTCTTGCAGACTTGCTCAGAGAAGTTTTCAAACAGAAGTCTTCATGGTATATTTGTACAATATATATCAACCTCACTTTTCCTGTTGCTGTCCATCTCTGACCAAATTTCACAGATACCTGGATTCTTATCCATCTTCAAAAGGGCTTAAGGAAAGCGATTGTAAATGGATGAAATGATAGCGTTCTGTATCAGTGACTGCTCACTAAGTGTCCGTGGCTGACCGCTGGGATACTTTACTACACAGGACTATCACACATGCACCAAGCTCATCACTGGAAATGGAGAGGAAAGTAGAAAAGTTAGCCTCTGCACAGTTAAGTCAAAAAGTCCATGCTCTTGGCTCCTGAGAAAACCCTCTGAGCCTCAGTTATTGCTTATTGACTTCTTACTTTACACATGTTCCTAACTATCCTGGTGATCCAGCTTTCTAACATCACAGCTCCGAAGCAGCCAAGTGGGAGCTGCTAAGACACAGGCACATTAAGAAGCATGCCCACCAACTGACAGCTGGAGGAGAGCCAGAAACAGCAGACTAAACAAGCCCTAGGGCCTGGGGATCTTTAGGGCAAATGATTTCTCGCACCTAGTAAGCCCCTTGGGCATAAACGTATTATGACACTAAATAATAATGAATATTCATAATTATGGCCTTATGTCATCAAGAAGAGTTTAATTGTGTTTACAGTATTTCATTACACTACAGTGTGAAATGGCTGGCACTGTGGTGATGAGCTTCATGCAGCTAATCCGTGTGGTCTCCACCGTCTCTTCCCCACATCTGCTGTTACTACTGAGTATGACGCGTGCTGCAGGATGGTGACCCTCGCCACTGGGTGACCAACCTGCTGTAAGACTTCATCTGGGCCAGAGCCTGGTCCTCAAGCTGATCGCTGTTGGATGCGGCACTCAAGGGGCAATGGTTTTCATCACTAGCAGCAAACAACGAGGCTCTCTGGACTGGAGAAGAGATAAGAAAGCATTCAGTATTTTAGAACTATATCCCTGGGTCCTATCTATCAAAAGTCAATGAGTGGCCTACATGGACAGTCAAATCCAAATCAATGCACAGAGATGCATGGAAACCTATTCTCTACCCCTCAAAGGAAAACATACTGTTGTTTTAGCCACAAGACAGTGGTAACACTGTAACTTCCCTTTTAGAAGTAGCTGTCATGAATCAATTTCTAGTCTTCCTTTCCCCTTGCTCATTGAAGTGGCATTCTGCAAGGCGATTCCCTGGAAACAGGCCTTGAGCCAAATTTCTGGACTAAAGCTTTCCACTTAGCGATAACGTAAAATGAATTAAAGAGTTAGTATTAGCTTCTTGAGACTTCTGAAGTATGTTTTTCACAAGATGCCTGGACACCGTCGTGGACTGTAACCTAAGTCCATGCCACCTGTGTTTCAAAATGTACCAATTTAAAATTCGATGCAAGAAAAAAAAATTTCTCATTAAAAAAGCAAAACTTCTACCATTTTGTATGAAGGAGAGTGAACAACGGATTGGAAGGTCCAATCAAATCAGTCCTGGGGAATTGCCACCAGCTAAATGAACACTAAGGAGCCAGTGGGATTTGGTTGTAGACTTCTCCATGATTGCCTGACTTCTGAATTTTGTGTCCTAGTAAATTTCCCTCCAAAATTGCAGCTTGGTTAAACAGTAACTTTCACTTTTCCCAAGTAATAGCAGTAAAAAAACAAACCAAAAAATCCAAAAACCAATCATTTGCTATTATTATAATTTTACCAAGAACTTCTTAGCACCAAAAAACTCTGGAGTAATTATCTTAAAGTCAGTCTTTAGACAAAAAAGGACAGTTGACAACCTTATGTCAACAAACACACACACACACACACACAGAGTATTATTTTTAGTTCTTTATATTTCAGCAGACCAGATCAGCACCAGTCTGAGGATCTGCATTTAAGAACCAGCAGCCTAAAGCATGCACACAGCCAGTGGGTTGGGAAAGGAATGGTGCAGACAGAAGGCGTGCTACTATCCATAGCAGAGATGAATGAGAAGGGCACATGAGGCAGCCAACATCTATCTGTTGGGGCTGGGGCACAGCCAAGCAGGTCAACATCCTAACATAGCTGTGTGTTTAGCAATGTCTTTATAACACGATGAAAGTCTCTCCGGATATATGTTCTTTTCAGTAAAATGACAGCTGGGATGCCTCTACCCCTCGCTGTTCCCATGCATGGAAGAGGCAAAGTGTCCACGTTATGAATCCCTATTTAGAGGAGACACCAGGTTCCATCTGATTAGGTAAAATGTGTGTGTAAGTGCCCAGCCTAGGGCCTGGCCCCTCTTGAGTGCTCAGTAAATGTTAGTTCAACTGACTTCAGGTTGTGCCAGTGAAGTGCATTTGTGTCAGAGCGTGCAAAGCAGCAGAGTGAACAGAGACTTGACCCGAATGCCTACATCACCAGCACTTGTCAGTCTGACACCCGCGGGCTCCTGTTTGGATCTTCAGTGGACTCACCCTCGTAGGCTTTGGCAGCATCCACCAAGTTGGACCAATCCAAATCTGCAGCAGCATCAGGCAAGGGCATCAGGCCGGGGTCGGGCATGGGCTGCCTTTGGGTCTCCTGGATGTCAGTGAGGGAGCTGTCTGAAGCTGAGAACTCTCCTGAAGGAAGGGATGGGGAATCAGATACTTCCTGAGCCCACAGGAGAACCACTCAAGAAAGTGCCCATTTCTGTTAGCACAGTGGATATAAACTATCTGTTAACTGGAGTCCGTTTCCAGGCAAGCAGGCCAGTGGTGGCCATGCTAAAGCTGATCTGAAATAGAAATGGTTTCCTCCCACCATCTCTGCCAGTAGTGTGAGTAACGGAAAAGTTAGTTTTACATCGAGCAGTCTGTCTGCCCTTGTGAAAGCTCTGCTGTTTGTCTGCCATGCGGCCCAGGGCGGATCCAGTGTCCCACTTTTCCTCTCAGAGTCCAGGGACTCAGATTGGGAAGGGGAGGCCTAGTTCAACAGGGAGCTGGGTGCTGGACCCAGGCCAGACAAACTTGTTCATACCTGTTCAAGGGGATCATGGGGCTTATTTTTACCTGGAGCCAGATGGCCCCTCAAGCCCACCGTGCACTGGGGCCTTGGATCTGATCCACCCTCCCTCATGCTTGGGACTGCCTAGGGAGAGAAGCATCCCCGGCCCACGTCTGCCCTGTGTCCAGGGTGCTTGTGAGAATCAAATCAGGTAATGTGAGGGAGAGGGCCACGTTACCCACACAGAGTTAACCCGTGACGGTGTTCTTAGGATTCGTACTGGCATTACTCTCCTTCCAAAGGACACAGGGCCATCATGGTAGCAACTCTGTCAATCAGTTTTGGAATACAGCAGTCCAACATCTCAAGCCCCTTCTAAGTGACAATTTGTTGAAGAGAAGTATTAAACCATCATAAAAACTGACATCTTAACAACTAACCTTTGCTGAGTCTAGGGCACAATTAGCCACTCTGTGCCATCTGAGGGCACACTGTGACTGCTCAAGTACAAGTAGGCGAAGAACAGAAACGGAGGGCTGGAGGGGCCAGGGAAATTGTAGCTCATGAAATGCAAATTCCCTCAGCAAGTCGGAAACAAGGGCAGTACGCAATTCCGCGAGAAGGAGCGGCCCTCAGAATGTGACTGCAACATTAAAACCCATGCAAACACGGAGCTAAAAGCGAAACTCTGTTAAAACCAGTAAGCAACTCCAGAAATACCTTTTCACAAGGAGTTAAAAAAGTTTCGTCAATTATGATGGCCTGGTAAATCAGTATATATTTAGTACTTGTTTTCCCTTTCAAATTATGTAAAGAACTGCTTTGAAGTGCAGCTGCTAGTTATTAATGTGCTTAAAATTAGCAAAATTATGAGTAAATGGAAAGCAACAAATACTGCAAGATATTAAATGCTCAGCTCTATTTAGACTTGCTCTCATCAAGGGCCAGTAGGTGGAACAAGCAATTTTGTGTGCCACTCAAAACCCTTCTGCCCTTTTATCTCTGGGGCCCAAATTCCCACATAGGGAAAGCAGAAGTCACCCACCTCATCCCCCACATACACATATTCACAGCAAATGAGGCATGGGCAAAGGGAGTGAGCCCAACATCACCACAGCTGCTGCCTGTCTTTCAGTGAAGCAAGAGATGACAGGAAGGAGCTCAGAGAGTTGCTTCCTAGTTCCCTTCCTTTTCCACAGCCTGATAATAGTCGTGGGAGGTAGGTTTCCTGGCATCACTCAGAATGTTAGCTCCTAAAAGGCAGGGTCTCCCTTGGACAGGGCCTAGCACATGATGTGTATAGGCCCTCACAAATGCTCTAGTTTTATTGTTGCAAAGGTAAAAGAAAAAGTGCAAGAAAGTGAGAAAAGCATTTCAGGTAGGCAGGAATAGTAGGAGTGATGGAAATCAGGAGACTGGCCTCAACGTGGGGGGAGAAGGAGAGAAAAGTTAAGGGGCATAAAAGTTACTAGCGGAAGGTTCTTTCCAGAGTCTAGGTGGCAAATGTAGTCATTTCATGTGTCAACTTTGGTTCACTGGGGGCGACCTCCTGGGGCAAAGAGAAACCAGATTAAAGCTGCAGGAAGTTGAAGGGAGAGGGTGGGGGAAGATGGCGTGAGCCTTGAGTGATGTCTGCCATGGTGAGCAGGCGAGAATGGGTCTGTGGAGATGTTGGAAGGAATATTCATGAGAGTGGGTTGAGAACTCAAGAACGATGCAGGGAGAAAGCAAACTGAGCAAGTAGGAGGAAGATTTGGAGGAAATACTGTTCCAAAGAAGAAGGGGAAGGAAAGGAATGATCAGGTTGGATGGGCCTGTAGGTATACATGGATAAAGAGAGATACAACAACTGTAGAATTCATAGAAGAAAAAGGGCAGAAGCGAGATGCAGTTATAGCAGTATGTGTAATCAACAGTCAGGAACACAAGCTCCCATAATAGGTGTCTGCTGTGCTGGGCCACTGCTGTGAGGGTAGGTGTAGACCCTCAAGTTGGGTCAGACAGAGAGAGGAGAAAAGAAAAGAACGACTTTGAGTCCACAGTCCCAGAATATGGTTCATAGTAACATTGGGATCTAGTTAGGTCACAGAGCAAACAAGCCAGACATATAAGAACCAAGGGCAAGAACATTGTCAATAAAATAGTATTCCACAAAATAGTAATATTTGCTTGCTAACTGAATGAATGAATGAGTGAGTCAACAAATGAGTCGTCGACACCACAGCCTGGGCAAGACAGGGAGCAATGACAAGTCTGTTATTATGGCTGAGGGGAATCAGGGACACAACTCTAAGAAATAATTGTAATCTAGCATTAGTCAGACTCACCTAATCATAGAGCAGTTGGGATGTTTGGTAAAAATACCAATTCCCAGACTACTCCTTTGGAGATCTGAATTCAGTAGGTCTTGGGTAGGGTCTAGGAATCTGAATTTTTAAAAGGAGTCCCAGATGACCTGTGTGACCTGTGACCTGTATGACCTGTGAGGTCGAGGGTCTGTACTATGTGGTCTGGCATGACAGGAGGGGAGAGGAAATAATCTGAGCTTTGGAAGCACGATGTCCTCCAATTACCATTCCCTATGCAAACTGAGAGGCACTGATTCTGGGGACACTGGCCATCAATACGGCTGTTCTGCTGCAGTAGAAATAAGCTTACCATGTAATGACTTCATCCCTAAGGTGTAAGAAGGTCTCCGTAGCGGAAGAGACTTAGGGAGAGAAGGGTATGTGCTACTGAAGAGGACATCGTTGGGCAGGGCTTGGTCCAGAAGTGAAGCCCTTGAGGTGAAGAAGTGCTCCCTCTGGCCACTGTAAATACTTTCATCCGACAGCGTTCTGTGCAAGGCCCGCCTTGAGGTCGGGGTGGGAGGGAAAGGAGACTGAGGAGAGGAGAGTGCATGGAACTGAAAAACAGAAAACAGTATGAGAAAAAGTCAATTTTCTGGTTCAGACATCCAAGTTTGAGAATGGGTGGGGTGGGGGCTGGGTCAACAAAGCCCTGCTCTAGGAACACCCCATCAAGTTCTAGCCCCAACAAGAAACACCCAGGTCCCACCATCTGTGTCTAATTCCTTGAGGAGCTAAAATAAAAGTTCGTAGTCATCATCTCCTCAGAGTCCAGCAGGCTGCCTTGAGCCCATCAGTCCTCCATACATAATTCAGAAATGTGATTAAGTGGATTGATCAATATGGTGCCATGGCTAAGAACATGACCTTAGGATCAGATAAAACTGAGTTTCCTCTGAATCCTGCGTCTTGTTTAAGTCATATAGTCTCTCTGAGCCCCAATTCCTCATCTGTCAAATGGGAACACAACAGAATTATTATAAGGATTAAATGAAATGCTGGACTGATCACAATGGTGTGCATCAGTGGTATTATTCAATGATGCTATGGTCTCAGGGGAAGGTATCCTCAGAAGTTTGTCCAGTGAGAACATGTTTGCTGGGCAACAAGAGCATTTAATCATCTAAATGTATTAACTCAAATAATAGGTAGCTTTTGATAAACACTAACTACTAAGCTATACTTTTCTTCCCCAGTTAACTTCAAATCAGTTCTGACTCATGGTGACCTCATGTGTGCCAGAGTAGAACTGTGCTCCATAGGGTTTTCAATGGCTGCTTTTTTGGAAAGTAGATCGCCAGGCCTTTCTTCCAAGGTGCCTCTGGGTGGACTTGAACCTTTTGGTTAGCAGCTGAGTGCATTACCTGTTTGTGCTACCCAAGGACTCCTAATGGAACCTATATTTGATATATTATATGGGTTTTGCAGATGGGTTTCCATGTATGAAATAAAAATAGGAAAATCAGCTTTATAAATGACAATCAGTTCCAGATAGATGTATTTCTAGTTGATATTTTTTGCTTTGGTGACCAGATTTGGGATTTTTTTCCTGCAAATAGCCAGTTTCTGAGAATCCCATTTCCTGAGAAACAACAGACACTTTAACAATATTTAAATCTCCAGCAGCTGAACACCAGCAGACTGTTCTGCACGGAACCCATAAAGCGATCCTTACTCGGTGCCCCTTAGACTCCTGTTTACCGTGGCAGGGAGAACAATGTGAAGACCAGGTGAAAATGGGAGGAGGAGGTCTGAGTCCCTGCTGGCAGATAGCCACTGTGGTATTTGCCATAACACTTTGAAGGGGCAGAGAACTAATGCTATAGCAACAGCTCCATTAGGCGGCTGATTTCACAGACCCAGAAATAGAGAGTTGGTGTTCACGTTCATTCATGTCCTCTTGGCCTTAACAGGCTTCCGCTCAACAAGCCAAGGGTTAACCAAGCTGAAGCTACCTACAATGTAGTGGGCACAGTTGCTGCATGAATATAAAAATATTATTAATCCATGGTATTATAAATAGGCCCCAGGTGTAGCCAATTGTGTAAAAATTGTGTTCACTTTAAAAAATTCCTGTTGAGTGAAATCCAGGGTAGAAAGGTGCTGAGTTGCAAGCGATGCTTTTGTGATAAATGCTTTGCCAGGCTTTAAGTGGGGAGAACTTGGTATGGAAGTGATAACTGCCCTTCTCACTTAAGAGTGGGCATTAGAGGTTAAATAGCTTGCTAATTGTACTTTTTTTTAAAAAATAAAATCAGATAATCTCTCCTATCCTGCAAGGTTCTAGGATATCACATAAGGCCAGATCTGAGATCTCTCTATTCAAAAACTGCTGTCAGTCTTTTTCAACACCTCTGGTTTGGTTTTAGAAAAAAGGGATTTCCTTTCCCAGTGAGGATTTCCACCCTGACTATTTTCAGGAGAGAAATTTTCTACCAACTCTAGTTTCAGCATCTTTGGGAAATATTTACATACTTCGAGGCAGTAAGCTGCCTTGAGCAGTGTGCTTTATTAAAAGCTGTAACAACCTGCTCTAAAGGAAGGCAGGGAAGGAGGTAGAAGGAAAGCAGCCTGCCGAGATGCCTTTTGTCCATTCAAAAGCAGCAGTATTCAGTCTTGTCCAAAAAAGCCGGGATAGCTCCTCACCCCAACCCTCCTCAACTCCAGTATTAAATTAGGTACCCAGACCTAGCTGGTCCCCAGAACGCCCCTGCCTCTCTTGCAGATCACTGGGCACTTGCTTTATCCAGTGTTGTCAGTCCCTGGGACAGAATCACAGTGGGGTCTATCATACCCAAAGGGGTTTCAAAGAACAGCCAGAAAAGGGGTTCTCAACCTGTGTTCCAAGGAGACCCCAGGGCTCCTTACAGCACCATTGCTTAGATGGGACCCTGATACCACATCACACCCTGCCACAGTCAGAGATACTCTGCTTTCTCAGTTCTACATACTGGTCTTCCATGTATGGTTTTATCTGAAAAAAGGGTTCCAGAGCTTTGTAAGCGTCTGGGAGCCATTGGTCTACTCTGTTTGTCTACTTCATAGCTGACCTCTCAAAAAGGCTTGGAAGGTGGCATCTTGCTCCTGGTCAGTCTCCTGTTCTCTCACTCTATCCAGTCCCCCTGGCAATCAGTGACAGGCGTTACCCACACTTGCAATAAGCAGGCATCAGCTCTTTCTAAACACTGTTACTGGCTGGAAAGTAGCACTAATGGTTTCCACCGTTGTCTGTCACCTGCCAGACTGTATGGGGCCCATGGGGGAAGTAAAGGTATCCCATCTCTGTCTGCCAATGACATTTCTTAGAATGTTACAGCTCTGTCATTTTCCTCGAGGTAGGAGCTCTGCAGCAGCTGCGCGGGGCCCTGCAGCCACTCACTTCTCGGCCACAGCCTGCCCAAAAGTTCACTGCCACGTCCCACAGCAGACATCCCTCTCTGCTGACAAGCAAGCTGTGTTTTCAGAGCTTGGCAGTGACCCTGCAATTTGATATTAATGATTGCTCATAGGTAGGACTTGCTATCCAAGAAAGCAAACGTGGCATGTGAGTGGGTTCCAGGGATTACAGCCCAAAGCTGGCCACTCCTAAAACCCTGAAGCCTGATACAGTGGCTTGGAGCTTGGAGCTTGGAGCCAGGCTTGGCCTGGAATACTTCTCAAGGGCACGCCAGCTTTCCCGGCACAGCAGAGCCACAGTCATTCAGACGGTGAATCTCAGAAGACACACGGAGCTACTTACCGGAACTCTTCTGAAACCAAACCACTCAAAAAGGATGGAACTGAAGATAAAACAGAGTACGTCCAGCTCCTACCAGCTCTTTAAAGCAGGAGCACTTTCTTTGCAGAGCCCTCACAGTAAGACAGTCACAACAAAAAAAAGCACAACCCTGTGTCGAACAGGCGTGTTAAAGTCATTCTACTTGGAAATAAAAGCCCAAGACCTGGAATAAGGGCAAAGCAGATGTTTGCCTTCAATTCTTTCCACTGCACGCATAAATCAAAAGAACAAGAGTTCAGAGCTTGTCCCCCTTTGCAAAACTGTTAACTAGGAATTAGAGGAAAGATTCCTTTCAGGGGAAGTTTTATTTTCCTCTAACATTAAAGGAAAAATGCGAAATAATTTTTATTTTGAATATGGTACTTAAAAATTTTAATACACCTCTTTGGGTGTTGATGGATAGAGAAAGAAGTTTTAGCACTACCTTTTGCAAGGTTGCTAAGGAAACCACTTGTGCTCTGGGTGATGAGTCAGAACTGTTAAGTGCTGGGTTATAAAATAGAAATTACAGAAATCAAGAATGGCTGCGTCCTTAAAGAGATTTATTATGTTAATGCTTATAAATCACTTATTTCTCAGCAAAACTCCTGAATGACCCTTGGAGTATATTTAATTCCCGTAAATGTTCATTTTTAAGTTGAGGGGTTATATTTGACCTATCTGAGGTCACACACACATACACGCACACACACACCCCTACACAGGAGCCCACACAAGAGCACGCACACACACATGCTAGAATGGCTCCAGGAAAACCTCGATGTGACAAGACCACGCGGCTCCTCCAGCCTGTCACGCCTCTTGCACTCTGATCGTAATCTGAAGATGGTACATGTTTAAGGAAATATTCTAGCTTCCATTTTCAATCGATTCTCAAAGTTCTTCTTAAATTAAGTTCTCTAGTCACTTCAAAGAGACTACAAGTCATTTAACTAAGAACCTAGAGAACAGAAACTTCAAAGCTGACTGCCATGACCCTTCCAGGGGTGGACCCCCTTCTCCTGGGGCTAACCAATATACTCAGACAGGAATACTGTATACTCAGAGTGAAATACTTTGGGGCTCAGCCCAATAAACACTAGTTTCCATTCCTGGGAGGTTAGTCACAACTAGTATGTGCCAGTGACCTGGTAATTCACATCTGGCAGCCTGTCAACAAGTGAGGCCAAGAGTGAGACCACACGTTAGAAGACAAGGAGGCACAGTACCTCAAGTAGGCTTCAAGCATCCTCCACACTGAGGAGACAGAACAAACTCTTCCAAAGGCCTGGCCCCTGACACACGCACTTACTCTGAACAAGTGTTTAGGACTTGGTGGGGAGGGGACTGGGCTTTAGAGAAGACATTTACAGTCCAGAATTCTGAGAGTGAAGTTGAAGGAAGGCTTTGTGAAGTAAAGAGAGTCTGGAAAGTTCTGAAGGTAAGTGTGTAGCCTTAGTATGTAGCCAGAAGAGGTGACTGTTTGTATACTTTTTCGGAGGGTGGAGGAGAATGAGTCTCCTTCAGGCAGTTCCTCTCAGTGACTGAAGGGCGTATAGACAGCAGGTTTGCCTGCCTGGGTCTAGGGGACAGAGCCAAGTGCTGGGGGCCTGGGGTGCAGGAAACAAACTGGGGGCATTTGTGGGAGGAGGAGGACCCTCTGGACAGAAGACATGAAACACCTCACAGAGAACTGTATATCTGACAAGGGAGGCCCAGGTGTTTCTACAGAGTGCTGCGAAGTAATAACACATGAGTGATAGTCAAGGAAGAGAGGTGCTCTTGCACTGTGAGGAGGATACACTGAAAGAAGAGCAAGCCATGGGGGTACAGACAGGTTAATACAAACCAGGCTATAGAGATGTGGATGCAGGAAAAAACATCTGTACAAAGCTGTGAACTAATCATTGGGAAGACGGGGCGATGGCTGGGACTGGGGCCCAATGAAGAAGAGCCATCATCAACACTTCCCGAGAGATGTGACTATGACGACCAGCCCCATCATGTTTGACTTCTCTCTGACGGCTATGTACCCCAACCTCCATCGTGTACCTTAAAATTTTTCTGTGATTCAGGAGTTGGGCTTTCAAGGTCGATCAGTTTCTTCAGATCCTCTTCAATGGTGGACTTGGAAGTTGGCTTAGGAGATGCCCGGAGGTCCCTGGTTGAGGCCTGTAGCCTGGTGTGGGCTATTTCATTGCCATCACTCTGATGACGCCTTGAAAGAAAAGGAAGAGAGGGTAGAAATCAAGTCGACAAGGCTGACTCAAGGGCGTAGTGGGCTTTGAAGGCTGTAAGTCAATGGAAAATATTAAAGGAGAGAAAAAGAGAATCACTTTTGTTTAATTACATCACAATCTACTCTGATAAATGCCTGTTAAAGAAACAAAACCAATCTGAAACACAAAATTAACAGTCTAATTAACAAATCACTCTTTTGCAGGGAACCATTAATTCTATCAGCCAAAATTAGCAACAAACTTTTTAAAAGACCACAGGATATGAATCCCAAATGTAAGCTTTGCACAAACGAAAACAAAATAATGGAATAAGTCATTTATCTTATTACTGTACTGTTTTGAAAAAAAGTCCTTCATATTCAGGAGTACTTTCTAATGTTTCCTCTGGTGCCTGATAGCCCGGTTCAGAGAATTACACGGCAAGGCTGTGGTTAATATCATCAAGGGTCTCACAGGGCAAGTGTGGTCTTAACTACACCAGAGGGGCAATTATTCTCCAGTGTGTTCTTAGGAGACCTAAGATTCTCAAATCTGAATGTTTATAATACATGTTATTTAAGGAACAAAATGGAGAAACAATTTAAGATAAGTTTTAGTTTTAAAAAAATCCCCTCACCAAACTACCCCCTCCCCATCACCCAGCCTGGCCTCTCTGTTGAAGGAAACGGCCCCAGCCTTTTCTGTTCTGTTCTTTTATAAAAGCAAATCACTCAGCAAAAGAAGCAAAAGAGTCCTTACTTTCTTGTGTCCATAAATCCTACAGAGTTTATGGTTCCTTCTGGTTTTTTCCATCCAATCAGGTACTTGCTCGTAGCACCCTGGCGAGGGTAGAAAGTCCTGGGACCAGATGAGGAGGAGGAGGAGGAAGAGAACGAAGGTGCCAGCTGCGAGGAGGTGGCAGGATGAAGTTCTTCTTTCGGGGAACTCCTGGCGCTGGTGAAAACAACTGGGCTGGCAGAGTGTCGGGAGCTCATGGTACTGAGGAGAAGCAGGACAAAGACCAAATGACCCCACTGTGGCTGTGTGCTTCCTGGGGTCATTACATCAGTCATAAAAGTGTTGCCCAGGACAGGGGTGATCGCCAGGTGAAAGAACAATGAATATTTCATAAAATATTAATGGAGGTGGATAGCTAGCCTTACTTGTTTCCTGACTGTAATTTAAATGTCTGCTGTCATAGTGACATGTGGTCACTGGGGCTTAGTCTGCACTTTAAGTTAAAAAGTAAAAATAGTTAAGACTGTCCATGGCACTTTCAAACATGTTGACATCACTGAAGTTTGTCAGTCATGTCTAGAAGAGACAAGTGATGGGGAAAGACAGCAATGAAGGTCTAGCAGTCTCAATGGCTGTCTGTCTTGCTTTGCTCAGAACCAGCACTCATGGCGACCCTCCCTGGGGCTGAACTAAGGCAGGGAGAGGAAAATGAATTAGGGATACAGCTTCCACACACTCACATCCAAAACTAAAGGGACACACTGAATTCTCCTTCCCCATGGCACCTGGCATTAATATCTACTCTCTAAAAAGTTGTTCAGGGAATCCTTATGGCACAGTGGTTAGCTTGGCTGCTAACCAAAATGTTGGTGGTTCGAACCCACCAGTGGGAGAAAGATGTGGCAGTCTGCTTCCGTAAAGATTTACAGCCTTGGGAACCCTATAGGGCAGTTCTACTCTGTCCTACAGGGTCGCTATGAGCTGCAGTCGACTCGACAGCAGTGGGTTTAGTTTTTTGTTTAAACAGCTGTTCGTCATCAGTGTATTTCAAACGTTGGTTAAGATCACAAAAGGAATAAAGGGAAGTCTACTCATTACTTTCAAAATGTAAAAGGGTAGAATCTTCAAAATGGACTGAGAGTTTACATTCACTGCAAGTCTGGAGGGCCTTTAACTGTAGAATTTCTGTGCTTCCTTCCCAAGGATCTCACAGGACCTAAGTTCCCACTAATAACTTGTGCCCTGCTGAGGTATGTAGCTTAGGATGAGACAGAAGATGGTTGACTAGTTACTGAGTGTTTAATTAACAGCGTGTGGTCCCAAAGCATTCCTCAACAGCACTTTCATCTGTCAAAAACTAATGGTCCTGATCTGAAGAAAATAAGGACTTTACCTAATAATGATACATCGATACTGATTCCTTAGGTGTGACAAATGTACTATGTAATTAATGTAACTCAGCAACAGGAGAAACTGGGTGAGAGGCATATGGGAACTCTATTTGTAACTTTTCTGTAAACCTGTAACTAGTTTAAAATAAAAAGTTTATTACAAAAACAAACAAACAAAAAAAACACTAATGGTCCTGAGGTAATATTTATGGGGGCAAAATGAATCTTGACTCCCACCTTAAGCCTACATAAAAATCAATCCCAGCTGGACTGCAGATTTAAATGCAGACCTAGAGATTCTGGACTATAACATGGAAGAACATCTTTACAATAGAGGCAGAGATTTCTTTGATAGAATCACAAAGGAAAGAATAGAACCACCTTAAAATCAAGAAGGTCTATTCATTCAAGGACACAGAGTAGGACAATCTATAAAACCTCTATCCAACAGTGGGCTCCTATCCAGAATATATGACTCCTAAATACAAGGAGCCCTGCAGTGGTTAAGTGCTTGGCAGCTAACCAGAAGGTCGGCAGTTTGAACCCACCAGCTGCTCCATGGGAGAGAGATGTGGCAGTCTGCTTCCAAAAAGATTTACAGCCTTGGAAACCCCATGGAGGCAGTTCTACTCTGTCCTATAGGGTCACTATGAGTCAGAATCAACTCGAAACTCGACAGCAGTGGGTTTTAAATACAAGTAAGACATACAAGCCAACAGAAAAATAGGCAAAAAGCTTGAAAAGAAGTTCACCATTAAGGCCATCCAAAAGACCAATCAACACAGGTGCTCAACACTAACAGTTATCAGGGAAACGCAAATTCAAACGACAATGAGAGACTACTACGGATCAACCAGAATGGCTAAAATTAAACACTGACGATCTGAAGTGCTGGGAAGGATGAAGTGACTACAATTCTATTATGGTGCTGGCGGGAGTGTGATTTGTTACAATTATAGTCCCCACACTTAGAAGAATTCTGGTCACTGTAGGCACTCAATAAATATTTGATGAAAGAAACTGTAAAATAAATGATAAATTAACCATCTATTTTAAATGGAAGGAAGAGTTATGCATGAAGATACTGCATTTTGCTCATATTGTATTTAAAACTGGACGTGGCTTGCCTTTCACTGCACTAAATAACGAAATCTGCAAATCACGCTTTTGTTTGCAGTGGAGTCTCAAAAGGAAGACCACAGACCCTGATCACTGGTTTTCTCTGTGAACATGAGGCCTAGCCTCCAGGTGTGAAATGCCAGCACATTTTTGTTCACTAATGGCTATAATCAAGACAGCACTACTTAACGATTGATGACATTTCGGAACAGAAGTAAAAACAAAGACAAATAGGATTTATGGTATTTCTTCCTTTAATGCACACAACACACACCTGAAGCGAGGCAGTACTTTAATACATTTGGCCTGTAATTCGGTGGGCATATGAGAATCACCTGGGAGACTCCTTTAAACACAGACAGACACACACACACACACCCACACACCCACACACCCACACACACACCCACACACACACACCCTGGGACCTAATCCCAGAGATCTTCGTTTAATAGATGTGGGGTGGTGCCTGGGCAAAATACACAGGTGGTGCCGGTGTGTTTTGGCATAATCTCCCAAGTGTGCACCAGATGAGAACTACTGCTCGAATCCAGCTGAATTATTCATATCCTCCTGCCCTTATCAAAACCCAAACTTCATATTGTCAAGGTCAAGATGGTGAAGCAATTTCTCAAACTGGGGGCTGGGGGCTGGGGGCCACCTGCACGAGTTGGATATAAATGTAGATTCCTGGCCTCACGTTGGATCTTCTAGAGCCCCAGAAATCTCTATTTTCACAAGCTCCTAAAGGATTCTCATGTTCCCTAGGGCTTATGAACTACTGCATGAAGCCCTCAACTCTCCCACTTTAAAACTGGTCTGTTCTACTCTGTCCTATAGGGTTGACAGGAGTTGGAATTGACTCGACAGCAGTGGGTCTGGTTTGGGTTTGGTCTCTTTCCTTTGTGGTCCAACCCCTGAGCTGAGCTGTGGCGGCGCCCCTCGAAGCTGAAAAACTCTGATGGCCTCAGGCCACCTCGAGGACCTGCACCAACACACTTCACCTAAGAATCTCTGAAGTGGGTGGAATTACAATACAACTAAAATGAAGTTGGCAGCTTCATACTTTTTTAAGTGCAATGGTGTGGCTGATCTGTTTCATTACCCTGGAGATTTCCTTTTTATTCAATATGCTGCAATTCAGTTTCATGCGTGGTGAGTTAAATCTCTTCATAGAAATTGTGTAAGAAGGTAATGAGCCAATAATCACGGAACAAAAAGAGAAGAGCGCTAGATATCTTAGGAAGTGACAACCGTAATATTTGTTACTTTCCTCATGGCATAAAGAGTGAGTTTAAATGGCCAAACTGGAACCAGTAATAATACAGTAATGGCATTCCTGGATTCTACATGAAGAGATCACTCCATTTAATTTTTATAAACTGTAAGGTGCATCCTCTTTCCTAAAACTGGAACAACTCTGGATTCTGTTTGGTCATTCCAGGACATACATTTTGAAAAGGAAGAGAGAATACACACACATAGACATGATACCTCATATAAAAAGCGAAGAAGAGGCGATGCGGTAGCAGAATATGGGACAGTTTCAATCTGTGGAAACATTTCTGTTTCGACAATATCTGGCTGAACTGATGCTCACGAGAAACCATGAACCCAATGTTCTGCAACCTGATTATCCGACATTCCTGGCTGTGGTAAAATATTACAGGGGGATGCTAGGCGACCGATCTGCAAAAGGGCTAGTCTCAGTGGGTGCTGCTTTCACAGAGAGGCGTTAAATCTGCTCACTGCACCCTTTGCTCACCTTGCAAAGGGATGAACCCCACAGGACTGGGGAGCCTGAATGTTTGCTATGAGAGCCCCAAATACCAAACCTATGAGGTCCTGGGAAACTGTTCTGAGTTTCTGCATTGTCACTGAGACCACCGCCTCCTGTGGAAAAACATCTGCCAGCCCCTCTCAGCTGTGGAAAACACTTGGAAGTCATCTTCTATTCAGGCATTGCCCTGAGGGACGGGTTTAAAGACTGGCTGTGAAGGATGATTTTTTCAGGAGGAGGACAGCAGCAATTAGTCACCTGCCAAACAGTTGTGGCAAAATCTGGGCAAAGGCTGAATGTTGGCCTCATACCAAGGGGAGGGGGCTGAGTGGGTGTCCTGTGATTGCCTTTAGGTAACAGATAATGTGGAGGATAATGATTGAGGAGGACTCCTCCCACTGTGTTCAGCACTAGCCAAATCTGTACCATATCCAATACTGGGCCCCATAATTTGGGAAGGCTTCAGGAGACGTTAGGTCTAACAGACGGGGGGAAAACAACCAGAGGAAGTAGGAATGATTACGCTGACAAAGGAAATATTTAAGTGATGGCAGTTGAAAAACAAAAAACAAAAAACCCTGTCCATCTAAAGAGGGAGATATTTAATAAGCACAAGGGCACACTAATACATAAAGCATAGGAAGATGAGTAGCTAGGTATACCAGCAGAAGAGACCTCAGGGATCACTGTGGACCACAAGCTGTCTAACTCTGCAAGGCCGAGCTATTCATTAAGGAGCTAACAAGAAAATGGGTAGTGCTAGGAACACTGACATTTTATTACGCATAGCTGAGGAGAGTATCATGTCCAGGTTTGTCATCTAAAAAGGAAAAAACAAAAAACACCCAGGAACTTTAAGAAAACATATGATTGTAGAATGAAACACATAAAGGACAGTTATAAGAGCTGTGGGAGACGTTTGCTGAAGGAAAAGTAACTAGATACTGTATTGAGGAAGTTGAGGGAGAGCT